TCTTTCATTTCAAACTCAAATTTTAGTTTTGATTTAATAAAATCTATTTCAGATATGGTTTGACAAGCAAGTAACATATCATCAACATATAAAAGCAGGTAAATAGATTCAGGTCATCCCGACCCTTTGAAGAAGAGACAAGAGTCATAACTGCTTTTAATAAAACCCAAAGTCTCAATATATGAATTGAACTTTTTATACCACTATCTGGGGGCTTGCTTTAAGCCATAAAAAGATTTTTTCAACATGCAGACCTTGAGAACATTTGATTTGACTGCATAGCCAACAGGTTGTCTCATATAAATGGTTTCCTAAAAATCCCCATTCAGACAAATAGTTTTCGCATCAAGCCAATCAAGTTCCCAGTTAAAATGAGCAGTCAAAGCAAGCAAAATTCTAATGAAGGTGTATTTTGCAACAGGAGAAAATATCTCATTATAGTCCACTCCTTCCTTTTNTAAGGCCAGCAGGATTCTAATTGAGGTGTATTTAGCAACAGGGGAAAAAATCTCATTATAGTCTATTCCTTCCTTTTGAGTGATACCTTTAGCAACAAGTCTCGCTTTATATCTTTTACTCCCTACATTAGAATCCCCTTCTTTAATTTTGAAGATCCATTTACAATCAATTACTTTCTGATTCTCAGGCTTATTTACCAGAATCCAGGCCATGTTTTTAATCAAAGATTCCATTTCTTCATTCATAACTTTTTTCCAAAGCTTAGACTCAAGACAATTTACTAGGGTGGCAACGATTGGGTTCGGGGTCGGTACGGCCAAAACCATAACCGCACCACCAAATTTTTGGTCACACCATAACCGCACCATAACCACGTAAGTCGGTTCGATTCGGTTCGTATCTCGGTTCGGTTCAGTTCTGTTAATAACCACGAAAATGAATTATTTTTTATAAGTCCAAATTCCAAACGTCAAATTGAGAAATAAATTATGAAGAAAAGCCAATAAAAAAACAAAAAACAATACTAAGCAAATTTAACAAACAATATCAAAACACATTCTTTATTCAAAAACAA